AAGACAAGGGGAATTAATCCAAACTGAATTACAAAGGGGGAGTGGAGGAGAAAAAATCAACATCAGCTATTTCCTTTTCCTCCGCTTCAAGGCTGATAGGGGGCGGTTTGTGCGAGTACTGTGAATCCTATAAAAATTAAATTAATAACAAAGGAAAGAATAACTAACACACAGATAGAAGCATAGCAAAATACAAGATGAAAATGCTGTTGCATGGGGGTGGAGGGAGATAGTTTTGCAGAGAGCAAGGGTACAGATGGAAAAAAAGAAATTTGAGGGAAGTGAGGGTGGGCACTGTTGCTGCCAGATTGCACTGCTCTTTTGTTCCCCCTCGCCTCTCTGGAAAGGGCTGCCGGTGTTAAAGAGGATATGGCGCGGAGGCCATTGTAATAAATGCCACTTGTAAATTGCGGAGTGGAATTATACAGCGTGCAGATGGATCCATACGCCTGAGCAAAACGTGGCCAAAAAAACTGGGAGCGATAATTAAGACTTAGGGGGTGAATGACAGAGCCATTTGTGACGACGGAATATGGCGTCTCCCTGCTCTCTGGGAAACAGAAGGGCTCGAAGAGCCTTGGTGTCACAAAACATTACCCACACAGCTGTTGGCTTTATGAGCAAGCAATGGTTTACTCCTTTCCTCCCTCCCTCTCGTCCTCATCCACACTGTCTCTTTCTTCCACTGCCACGCACACTCACCTCCCTCCCCTTGGTTGCCAGTGGTGCTATTCTTTGCCATTTTGTGCCACTTTAAGATGACCCCCTGAAAACACCATCACCATCAGCTATTCCATCCATCCACATCCCCTTCTTTGCCTCACACCACCATACTTGCTATCTCTGAGGGATGGGACAAGGACTTGCACTCCATCATTCATATCCTTGCAAAAAAAAAAAAAAAAAAGGAGGAGGAGGCACTCCACATGCACACAAATATAGAGTAACATCTAGGCTGAAAATTCAATAAAAAGCACTGACTCTGACAGTGCTTGGTAATGTTTTGAATGGGAGTTTGGGCTTACCGGGGCTTTGGGCTGACTGTAAAGCAGCGAAATCCAATTCTGTTGTTTTTCTTCTCTTTTTATTAGTAAAAAACATGTTTGTATGCCATCCTTGTGTTCACAGCGTTCACACGAATCCTTGCATGCTACACTGCTTGTGAGTTTCCAGAGTCAGAGTCTTACCTTTGTTCACACTGAAGTTTATTTCAAGCATTTAACCCCGGACACCATTTGATGTTGGTTCAGTTACATTATTTTGAGTTTACCTCACATGCTCAACAAGTGCAGCCACACTCTGGTCGTTCCGATTCTGATGTATACCGAGTCAGCCCTCTAATTCACCCCGCCTAAAAGAATCTATCTCATTGTCAGGATGGTCTTGTCTAGCTCTTCGTCTCAGACCCGGGGACCTCCACGGTGTGCATAGTAGCCCGCAACTCTTAATTCAAACGAGAACCCTTCGTGCCCCGTTAAACCACTGACCTTCTCTGTCAGTCGTGTCGCCCGCTGCTGCCAACAACGGCGGGGGACTGAGCTGCAAGCTAAGAGACTGTGCTCAATAAAAATGTGGGTGATTAAACAACTCCCTGTAATTGCTCCTTTTGTGCAAGAATCAAACGGTCACATTTATTATGGTGGCAAGAGAAAGGGAGGCCGGGAGCATTCGCTTCCGCTGAGGGGCCAGACAACCCACAGTGACCCTGTGCCCTGGTGTCACTACTCTTTTATCTGACCAAACAACCACAGTGTGTGTGTGTGTTTACCTGCATATGTGTGTGTACTAAAGCTTTGTGTGTGTTTGTGGGTGCGCATGGATGTGTCCGTAGGTGTGTGTACTAAAGTATGCAGAAAAAATGTAAAAACAGTTCAGGTAAAAGTAAAGAATAATAACACCAGAGCTCCCCTCAGTGGTCGGTGGCCGAACTACACGTGAACAGACGCCATTTGGACTGATTTGTGTGCATGTAGCCAGCTGGCATTGGTTATAGAGGAGCAAGCCAAACCAGGGGACTATGTCCAACACGAGGGCTGGGTTTCAGAGATCATAGTAATTCGTGAACTATACACATCATCTGCTAGTCACACTCACAAATGCTGATTTTAGTACAAAGGCCCAACCACAAGCTCTGTCAAATGGGTCAGCTCACAAAAGGAAAGCACCCAATTACTATGGCCACAAGAACAGTACACACAAAAAAAGCCTTTCAAGGGTTTGCGGGTGTTTCTGCTTCCCTATGATTAAGCCAACTCTACACGCCCAGCACTTGTACACACAAAACACCTCCTGTGCCAAAACAGCCTACAAACTATCTGAACTATCACTAAGGTTTGAAACAAGAAAGCTTTCTGTGGTCAGAAAGATCGGGAGAAACCATGAGAGGATTTGAGCAGTTGGCCGGTCGACAGCATTAGTGATAACCCCCCTCTGAGATATGATGAAAGCTGAAATATTGAATCTAAATATAAGAAAAGTAGTTCTAGTTATTGCTACAAAAACAAAAACAAAGTTTTTCAATCATAATCAACTTTTTGATATTTTTAAAGAAGCCTACATGGGAAACACAATCCTTATTTTGTTCTTTTAAGTCCCCCACTATTTAAACGTCACTGAGATTAAATCAGTATAATTTGTATATATTTGTACATGATTAAGATAAATTGTTTTAAAGTTAGATTACATAATTTGATGCAAAACACAGTTTATTTCAACACAGAAATAAAAAAGAATGAATAGTTTTGAATAGGTTTGAAGGTAATTGATATACAGCATGGGAAATTAAAGAAGTCTTAGGAGCCAAAACAATAAGAAAGAAAGTTGTGAATGAGAAATATATATTTTTTCATCTTTAAACTGGTACTCAGGTGCAATTTAGGTCGTGGGTGGTTTGTTCAAAAGGTGATGGAGTAATAGTGCCCCCTTCTGCTAATAATGCAAACACAAAAGCTCAGTAGCAACAGAATTGATGGGGTTCAAGGCCTGTCCATTTCACACAGCGATGTCAAAGAAAAGAAGACTGTTTGTAAAACTGTGCAAAATCAGGCTTTATTATTTTTCTCCTGCACCAGTCATCATCATCATCATAATTACCATCATCGTCATTAACATAATCTCTGAAAACATCACCCACCAGAGACAGACCTCAAAAGAATAGATGCTCAGAGGCGAACAGCTCATACCTTCTGGAAGATCAGGTTCCTGCACTTTGTTAGCCTCGTATGTGCATCTCATTTTAGGTAATACATTTCAACAGGGTACCAAATGTACTTATTTACAAATTTCCTTTTTGTCAGTCTGGCTGTCCATTTGATCATCAAAGTTCCAGTTCCAGAAGACTTTTCAAGCCCATTGTAGAACAGACATAGTTATGTTTTTGGATACTATGTTATTTTCTGACTTCATAAATGGGTGTCTTCTGATCTCTTTTCTTCCACTGACCACAGGCTGCAGGTCTGAATACTGTCAGTTCTTCCAGTTTAGGCAAACGTTGAAGAAGTGCAATGTCTAGTATAATGTCAAGAAAATACAAAGCCACATGTACATACATACATACAGTACATGACTAACTCATCAACTTCATTAGATATACAAGGTTGTCAGTCTCAAAGATGAAATCAGAGAGTTGCATATTGATGCACCTCAGTAATATACAGAGTCCGTTAGGCTGGGGCAGACAATGACGGGAGCTCACCTGGACAGAGTAATGACTCCAAATAGTTTGTGAAAATGCTCAGTGAAATTCACACACGTTCATTTCAAAATGAGAGAATTGATTATGGCTGTAACATGATCATAGATCCAGTCTGGGGGGGTTTTTGTTGTTTTTTTTTTGCTGATGAGCAAAACAGCCACATGTAACATTGTATCTGTATATATTCATATTGCTGTTACTGAAGCTGGCAGCTACTGTACATTTGACACATTGCAGCCAAACAAATCCTTCATAATGGCCAAAGAACAAAGACAGAGCAGGAGAGGATGAAAACAACAAACAATGGTATCTATGTCACCTTGACTCTAAAGTAAAGGAATGGGTGATAATTCTCCAAGACAGGAGGAATAACATGATGCCAGCCCTTCTATATTATGGGTCTGAATTAAATTATGGGATGTTGAAGAACCAGTTCACATTTGTTCTCATCAAACTTGCATTGTTATGTTTCTCATACATTGAGGGCCTTTGAAAAATAAACAAAAAGCTTATTTTGAGATCTTTAAAATTGGGGTGGGTGGATAAAATTCTATCAGTAAAAACAGTCTTAATCCATGTGACAAAACTGTCACCTTAAAGGCTAACTTTAAAAAGAAATTCTCAGAAACATAGTGGTTGTTATGGAAGTATGTTAAGTTTGAGCTACACTTTTTCTATTTGATGCATCAGTAGACGAGGAAAAAAACCATACCTAATAATGTGTGCTGTGCCGGTACCATGTCACAAACCTAAGGTCTGTGACATACATCAGTCAAGTCATTATTCAAAATTATATTAAATAAGATAAAAGCACATAATGGTTTTTCAAAAACAACATGTGTGAAACTCCACTATTTCTTCACCCCCGAGAGATCTATAATCATTTGGAATGCTTATTGGTTTATTATATTTTTGCAATGAGAAGTAAAAAAAGCAGATCAAGAAAATATGAAATCCTAGGTATGAGTAAAAGTAATGGGAGCCTAGACAATCCAAAAAGACTGTAGATAAACATCCAAGTGTCTGCTTTCTGTTTTTGGTCTGTGAACACCAGAAAGTTGCAAGACCAAATTTAGTCAGTTTAAATCAAACTGTGGATCAAAAGAACATGTAATGTGTATGAATTCAGAGAGAAACATGGTGGAAGAAAAGCAAAAGAAGGCCACAAAAAAAACCATGTACAAACATGTAATGTGCTCAAGAGATCCCACAACCTTCTGTATCAAGCCTGAGGACAGCTCACCCAAACATTCCCTTTAACTGTCTAACTACCCCTGTGCCTCCAGCTGAGAGCTGAATGGATTCATTAACTGGAGTAGATCTGGGTCCCAATTACACGCATTATCTCCTTTTGGACTTTAGGCTCTTGCGTGTTGATGTTTGCATCTCCTACTTGACCATCCTCATATCTGCAAATGAAAGGACAATTATATAATACTGTTAGATAACTTAAGATAAATATTCTATTAGTTTAGTCATCTCCAATTACTCTCTTTTGATGGCGACTATACAATTATTCGGTGATATTACTAGCCAGTTTTATGGTAAATCAAACTTATTCCTTTTTTAATGAAAATAAAGAGTTAATAATGAAAATAAGCCTTTTTTTTATACAACTGTCTTTATCATTGATGTTAATGTCTGTTAAGCCAATTAACTGAGAAACGTAAGGTCTGATGAATAACAACATCTGTCTCTGTTTTGTTTTTTTTTCTCCTTTTTTCTGATGCTGAAATATCCAATTGCACAGAAATCGCAAGGTCAGAGCGCAATTATATTCAGCAGTGCTTTCAGTTTGATTGCCGGCAACCCATCAAACCCTGATTTTAAACTATCTACATGACTCAAAATTTCTGAAATGCTCGAAGAATAAAAGATTTAGAGGAATGGTAGCATCAGCACAGTATGTGATGGAGGACATGTTAGATTAGATTAATTATGCATTCAGTTGATGGTAATTTTCAAGAAAGTGACAGCGGTGTGAATACTTACACAAAAAAGAAGCGAGTACAGACGTGATCGGACACAGGACACACCCATATGTTACCATGTTTCTGAAGATCCTTCGATGTGATAACTGGTTAGGAACAAAAAAAACACTCTTTCATTTTTGCAGATTGTACAGATTACTTATTTCTTATTCATAGTGGTAAATAACACAGGACATGTTCAACAGTGGAAAAAATGCATTGCAAATCAAAACAAAATAATTCAAATCAAACTGAATGCCTTTTATATTCTTAAAGACAATGGTTTTCAAATTCGAAAAAAAAAAAGAAACTGCAGTTCTTGAAACCTGTGTAATATCTGACCAAATATCTGACCAAATAAATGTTGGATATCTTTGCAGTGGTACAAAAGTTCAATTAACAAACACCGATTGTACATTCTGTACAGGTATTACCTTCACAAAGAGCAATGCAGTTCAAGTTTCGACTCTGAAGAAACCTTGATTGTATTGGCCGGCTCTATTATAAAAAATGAGGAGGTGAGTTATTGGTTGCAATAAAAACTTAAGTGTATCAAGAGGACTATGTCACAATAATAATTACGATGCACAGCATGCAACAATATAATCAAGGGTGGCTGAAGAGAACTGTTTGGAGTATCAAGATACTCTAAATACTATTCAACTTTCAGTGCAACAACCCTCCTTTACAAATAAGCTGTAATTCATAATTAGATTTAAGATAGTCACATGTCCCCATTACTTCCCCATTTTAAATAAAATCTATAAGTTTTGAGGTAAAAGGATAGAACAAAAGAAGGATGCGTACCTCACGTGTCTCCCTCACCTGTGGTATGGTATTCATGCGGTTGTAACGCTGCACCAGCTCATCTTTTGTGGGCATACGGTGCTGTCCTTTCCCCATTCCTGTAAGAAGAAGAACATGCCCAGAAAATAAACGCCAGTCAGAACAACTTTAAGTGAAGTCACTTATGCTGTGAAAAACCAGCCTTGATCAAATATTAATGGTGCAGAGAGGCCCTGTTAGCAACCTGATAACTGATGTCCCCAAACCCACTGCCAAATCAGACCACCAACCTATCAACATGAATGTTTCAGTGGAAACACTGCAAGCTGTAAGTACATGAATAGCTACAGCAAATACCTCACAAAAAAGGAAAAAGGAAAAGGAAAAGAAAAAGCAATCAAAGCAACAGACACAAATCCTGTAAGAACCGTTTTTTGTACAGACACAATGAAAGTATGGTATGACAGGTGATGCACGAGCGAACAAGAACCAAAACTAAGCACCCAAAATGAACATAGATCATGGTACAAAACAACAGTATAACACATGGAAAGCTCCCACATGTAAATGGTGGATTTAAAGATGGCAATCAGACCATGATTCAAGCCTATTCAATTAAAATGGTGTAAAAAGCAACAGGAGGCCAGACGGGTCTGAGTGGCAAGGAATTAGCCGTTCCTACCTGAGTATCCAAAAGATATGCTGGAGATGGGGCTCAGATAGATGCCCTTTCCATACGCTGCCCCATGCAGCTTGGGTTTGAAAAGAGCAGGAGCACAGTAAGCAGTTGTACAGGAAAACCTCACGTTTACACAAGTATCACAGCTGTACTCACACATGCAGTGCAATTCATACTGCCTGCTGCAGCCATATCTAATGAAAGACTATAAGGAAGTCTCCTCTAGTTTCTGTGACAATTTACTGAAACAACCTCTGTCAAGGGAACACACTGAATACATGTAAAGGCAAACGCAAAAATCCAAATGATGGACAGTGGTTAGCCATGAGCCCCCCAAAAAATTACATTTCATATATGGTCTTCCCATCATAACATTAAAAACCTCTAAACACAGAGATCATATGACACTACTGAGGGCTGTCTGTTCAATTATTTCAAAAAAGCTTTAGGTATTCAAGCAGTACATTAAAAGTAATACAATATGTAATGTATGTGTGAATAAAGCAATAGAAAATAGAGTTGGAGGATAGTAGATGATGATCCCTCATATAAGAAAGTTGGTGATGAGGAACGTGACTACAAATTCAATAAGGACATTTTGAAAGAGAAACATCAAACAGCAGCAGCTGCCGGGGAAAGACAAAGGGCAGATTTCTAGTTTGAAAATACATAATGAAGACATACTGTAGGTTAGGATATGGTTCATTGGGAAGAGTTGAAGAGGAATAATATACAAGAGGTTTTGTGTAGTGGCTGAAGATGGAAACTCAATTCTTCTTTTCTTGAAAAAAGAGTGAAGAGGAAATGTGAGAAAGTGAAAGAAAGCCTAGTGGAAAGGACAGTACGAAGGAAAGATCAGACATAAGAATGTACAACAAGCTGGTGAGAAAAGAAGGAATAAATTAGATGTATTCGCAAAATCACAGTTGAAATATTCCATGAGACTTCTGATTTCAGATTTAATTGGCTATAAAATACTTTCTGGACATGCCAGTGTACCTTTAAGTAGCAATACTGTGCAAATGAGAATGTTTTCTGCTCTTTCTGCTGCTGGTTTGTTATCTTTGTGGGTGCAGAAATTGTCTTTATGGTCTGAAAGCTTAAGTAAAACTAATTCAAAAGACAAAAGTTCCCTAAAGCAAGTTTAAAGATTGAATTGTGGACTCAAGTCATTAACAGATTTTCATTGATTGTATTCCAAGAATTTTCAGGGCTGAAATCATTAATACGGGCAATGTATCTGACGACTAGCTAACTAACTTCTTTTTCTTCCCAACAAAGGAGCTCTTCTTTCATGGATATACGAGTTATAGGGCTTGGGCTGCAGAGAAAAAACTAGATTTGTTTTGTGAATTGGAAATTTGGCACAGCAGACAGTAGAATAGCTGAGCAAAACCTCAAAGGGTCAAATTACGACTGGATTTTTAACTGAATGACCATCTTTAGAATTTAAAACCTCAGCTATTACAGACTGTATGTGCCACACTACCTAAAATGAAGACACACAGGGGTTCTTCTTTGATCATTTTTAATTGTGTAACGATGAGGGATTATTAGAGAGCAAAATCTAGAGGATTTACAATGCTTTGTGAACACTAATTTATAGCCCACAAGATGAACGGTTGAAGCTCACCCTCAACATTGACCTAATTTATCACCAAGCAGTTAAACTAAATTTAACACATAAAGCCAACCAAAATGTTCATTATCTGGCGTGTGCATTTGTGGTTTCACATCTAAGCACTTTAACTTGGTTAAAACTCTCCTGTTTTAACAATATTGCTCATTTGAGCCAATTTGAGATCAGCATGTCATGTTTGGATAATCAGAAAACAAAAGAGTGCAATGCTATATGATAGAATCGGAATACACTGTTTATTTCTGCTTTATACAGGCTTTAATAACTGCAATTGGTTTAATAAACTCAGTGATGACTATTGGTTTCATGTTTAAAAATATAATGGACATTACCAACATTCAATAGAACTACCTACGTCCCAAAATAAGGTAGTACTATTGTGCTTGTCCTTTGCATCCTCCTCCTTCATAATTAGCCTCTTCAGTGCTCTATGCAGCTAACGCAAACAGGGTAGACACACAGCCCTCTGACATGCCACCTGACATTATAGCCCACTCCCTGTGTGACACAACAGGGAGGGACGTGCTGTCAACTGCTGTCAGAGGATGTGGCAGAAACTGGCCGATATTCGCCAAGAAAATCGCATGCGCTCTGCTGACTAATATGCCAATAGCAAAGCTGACAAAAGAAAAAGCTGGCAACCACTGACTGCAAAAATGAATCAGCCAGGCAGCAAATCTGTGTGAAAGCAGGTTTACTGTCCTGGAAAAGATCTGTCATAAATTCCAGGCAATTGCCAATGTTACGTACCTGAAGTTTAGTATAAGAGGCGTTGACCAGTCCATTTCTCAGAACAGAGTGCCAGTTCTCAATATGGGAACCACTGAAGCAGGAAAAGGGAGAGAGATGTGGAACAGACAGAAAGGTTTAGACACAGCTGACTGACATAAAACAGCCTGGAGTTTTGTGTCCAAGCAATAGTTTGAAGTGGCTAGACTCGTGCTGCAAGTAACATTTTTCATCAAGATCTTATTAAAATATGCGCCGGTAAAATGTAGAAAAAAATAGTTGCCGATGCCATCTTTATTACAAAGTAAAGTTGCTTGTGTTACTTCACAGTAATCGAGCAACTACATCTTTTCTGTATTAACTGACATAAGCAAAAACTATAAGGAAGAACAAATGGTTGTTTGTGTGGTAATTTCATGGATTATTACCTCTCTGTGAATGATCAAGAGAAAGTGACTTTTGTAGCTTTACATCTTTTGAGTTTGATAAAATGAAAGTCAAGAGTTGCAATAGTGTCATGACTATTGTTATACTTCAAAGGATTTGAAGAGGCATTAAGGCCTTTTTTAAACCTTTAAGCAGACACGCATGGGACATTTCTTAAGTTGTTCCTTTTCCTTTTCCATTTGATATTTTTTGTGTATATTTCTATGTCAAACATTATACATATAATTGTCACGCCAGATTAAGAATTTGATGTAATTTGTTAAGGAATTATTTAGTTTTAAGCAACACTTCTCGTGCATTCGCTGTACCCTTCCAGCGCCCAGATGAGTCATGTCGATCTAAAATATTCAACAGAGCCCCATCTGCCACAGCATAACTCTCTATCACACTATTACTGCTGGTACTATGTGCTGGCCAAGAAAGGTGCCAACAGAATTCCCCCTACTTTGTGTTCGTATTTGTGATAGTCCCATTAAAATATGCAAGACTGGTCACATTTGTATCATACGTATAATCCTAAAAAAGTGAAAATGTTTAATTTCATCTGACATGGTATAGTGCCAAATGTAAAATTATGTTAAATGATAATACTAAATTTGCCCACTCTTAAATTGATATTTAAAAAAAGCCCAGTTTACTTCATCTACCAAAATTAGTGGGTTGACATCAACTAAGATTTGCAGCCTTAGCTTGAATACAAACCATGGCAGGTAATTGGAGGTGTAACTTACTGGAAGGCAAAGGTGCTGCCATACAGCTTCTTGGCAGTGCGAAATCGAGCTTCCTTGGCTGGGGGGCTGCTGAGCAGCAGGAACTGGTGGGAGGTGTGCATGAATTTCAGTTGCTATTATGATGTGATCAGAGAAAATAAAGAGAAAGAGATGGAACATCAGAAAGAGAAGGAGAATCAAACCTAATTTGTTTAAGTGGACTGGAAGGGATGGTGTCCTGGTTTCTTACCCTACTAAGAGGCAGCTTGACAATATGAGACCTGTTACTAGAAATGATCCTGTAGGGAAATAGAACAGAGATAAAGATATTAATATTAACATGAACTGTAACATCATTTGAGCTATTTAGATCTGCAGCATCTATTTCTGGCAGTCCACATTGGGCCTCACTAATAAAAAGCAGATCACTGATAATTGATCTCTTATTTCTAAAGTCAACTGTAATGGTGATCCAGCATATGACACATCAGAGCCCTGAAACCAAATCAATAGAATTTATCACTGACTAAATTATTTACACCTATGCTTTTCCCACTTGGACCAGTCAAGCCATCCTTCAAGTAATGTCACATACAATATCTACTTAACATCATTTTGATTAGTTTAGAACAGCATTACCTACTGAGTACATATGAATGAGAATAGATACATTTCTATATACATTTATATATTCTACAATCATATCATCTCACCATTGCAGCAGGGGGTGGGCCAAAGGGTCCAATTTGTCCATCTGTTTCTTAATCTCCAAATATGAACCCTTGGGAAAGAGAGACACACAATTTAGTACTAATTTACCCTCTTGAATAATTAAAACAAATGAGTGTTGAGCGTCAGGCTTGAGCTGTGAATAATATAAAACAGCACTGACATCTAACTCACAACAGCTATAAATGGTGTTCAGTTCCAGTAAACAAATGAAGAAAACGAGGAAGGACGTCACAGACTAAATGTAATTCCAATAAACAAACCCTGTCAATGACATATAAAACAATCACATCAGCCATACACATGCTATTCCCCTCCCACCTCATATTTGTACCTGGGTCATTTCACGGATGGACATGACACTATCCAGTGCCTTCTGCAGTCTCTCATAATTCTTCTTCTGTGTTCATCGGTTGAACCAAATATCCATCGTATGCAAGAAGAAAAGGGAACGACATAAAAGATGCAAAGGTTTGCAATTGTTTAGTTTAATTTGCATACATAACTTAGCTTTATTTAGCTATTTTATTCATTCAAAGAGAACAGTAGGCTTTTTTAAGTTAATTGTTACTTTGGAAATGTATTTGAGAAACAGACTGCAATCCTGACTACATCAAAGAGGATGCTGACCTTTGGGTTAAAGGCAAGAGTCTTGGGGTCATTGGGATCAACGACTGATGGGTAGGGCTCGAAGATGATGCTCTTACGGGGAGACTCGAGAGCAGCTCGACACATGGCAACTAGTAGGTCCACCACCTGGGAAGATCAGGATTTCAGTTTCACATTTGACATCTTTAACCGAAACTGTCATTTACTCATTCTGATCCACAAGCTGAACAGAAATTGCCTTGGTTTCAATAACAGGGCAATTCAAACCAATGAAGAGTGATTATTCCTATCATTTAAGTTATATGTTATTCTTTCAGTAAAAATGTAAAGGAATTGATTAGGAAAAAATGGATCTAAAATGATCTACTATTTTATCTGTTGGGGCTTCACCTCAGCTCCAGTGGCCACTTCTTCTGCAGCTCCTGACATCACTCCCAGAGTGTAAAAGGAGAACACGCACAACTCACGGGTGCACACAGCAGGCTGCATAAATACACACAGACAAAGCAATATCACACCATACTGCTGAGTTTGTACAAACATAGAGTGAAAGGTTCATTCAGTCACACCTAGTTCAATACTGGAAAAACCACTAACACGATCAAATTACAGAAGAAGACCTTCCAGATAGCTAATGTTTCATGTTTTATCTATTTTCTCACAGATATGAAATGGTGCATCAGACTACATTAAATACACATTTAATTGTGTTAATTTTTTCCCCTTGTCATTGATACCTTCAGCATGGATCCATTTTGAAAGACATGCTGTTCATCACACACCACGCAGTACTCGTTAAGCGTTGGGATCCTCTGCTCTGAGTACTTCATTATCTATTAAAGAGAAAAGCACAATGGAGTTCCCATTTCTAACTCTCACCTTCGCGGCTGCCAAACGCAGGAAAAAAATAATAAAGGCAAAACTGACACAGAACTATAATTACACTGGAATTTATGCGATTTAATCCGTATGGAGCTTTGAAGAAAAAATATTAGGACTGCAAACAATCTAAAAAGGCGGACGGTTTTGCCTCTCACACATCCAAGGGAAACATTTGGAAATCACATACCAGTATCTAAACTATGCTGATATGTGATACATATCAACTATAAACACAGAGTATTGTATTCTGCTGCAAGTGCTCCACGGACTTTCTTCCTAAGAAAGGCCCAATAATCCTGACGAGGAGTGCAAGTGTCTTTCTTTGTGGACTTGTAGTCTAACCTGTACTAAGAAGCCATACTCCAAGGTAGGGATGTTCTTGCAGTGGCCGCCCGCCTGGGATGAGAAAAACAATTCAATCAGCTGCCTCGTGGTAATCTGCGCTGGGGCCCTGGCCGCTGGGACAGCCACAGTCTGATGAGTCAAGTGAAGACAAAGCATTATGGGAAAGGGCGCATCGGCCATGTTTCAGTAAAAATGGGGGAAAGGCTCAGGTGGGAGGAGTGCAGGTGGAGGGTGACTGAGCGAAAGGTAAGAAATGGATCAAAGTGGGTTAAAAATAGAGAAGAGCTTCACACAGCATACACAGCACTACGAATCTTACATCACAGCAATATTCAGATTAAGTGAAAACTGTGAAGCTGCAGATTGGAGTCAAAATAAAAATTGCATCCACAAAACTGGCGTGTTTGTGACATGCCAAAATTACAAGTCAGTAGATGGTGAGAAGACATTTGTCTACAAATCAAATCATGCTCAGAAATTAAGATTCACACTTAAAATGATTAAATATTTGAGAGCGGAGTGATCCAGCCTGACTCTGACCTGGCTATTAGGTGGATAGCTGAATAGCTCTCCTTTAGGGTTCTTCATGGTACATGAAATAGAGCGGTTCATCAGCCGGGTCACTCTCAGTTCAGGGACACTAAGCTTCCCTTTTAAAACTGTGTCTTGGATCAGAGGAAAACTCGGAGACCTGGTAAAGATTGAAACACAGCACATGTTGATGAATCATTCTGATAAAAGAAATACCGATTATTTTCACCGTACAAGTGACCACAAAAATTAAGCTTTCTGGGGATTGGGTGGTTAGCACTGCTGCCTCACAGCAAGAGGGTTCCTGGTTCAAATCCCAGGGGGACCAGGACATTTCTGTGTGGAGTTTGCATGTTCTCTCTTTGTCTATGTAGGTTTTCTCTGTGTATTCCTGCTTCTTCCAACTGTCTATAAATGTGCATGTCAGGCTAATTGAACACTTTAAATTGCCTTTAGGAGTAAATGGTTGTTTGTCTCTGTGTGGCCCTGTGATGGACTGGTGACCTCTTCCAGGGTTTATCCTGCCTCTCGCTCATTGCCAGCTGGAGCTGGCTAAAGTACCCACTGCAACCCCACGAAGTAGTAAACGTTGCCACAATTAAACTTATGAAACCAGTTTAGACGGTGGCTCTATGCACAGTTTAAGCACAAGAAACAGTGCTTATTCCTGCCATTACATCTATGTACCCAGCTGTCATGAGACTCCTGTCACGTCAAAAGCATATCAAGACATTCCAGTTAGTAAAGCTGACTGGGATTCATTCCCTCTGTAGCCATAGCTGTCAAAGCATCCAAAAGAAAAACAGAAGCCGTGAAGAGAATTTCTCACCCATGGGAACTTTTGTCAGACTTTGAATTTAAGTCCATCTACACAATGCTTCCTTTCTCCCGTTATAAATTTTAGCTGCAGTTCACCTTTTTTTCAGGCAGTTCAGGCACATTTTTTACATCAACACCTTATTTTCTCAATTTCTATTATTTTGTGGTACTGGTAAAGACTGGATTGCATAACCTTTGGTGTTAACAATACTGGGCGGACCCTATGCCGGCTGTCAGTTAGTGAGGATAGGTTGCTAGTATCAGGACCACACAGAGATGAATAAGACAGAATGCCAAGCAAACTCACTCATATGGTCAATATACATTAACCAATTGCAGCTGCATGGAAAAGGCGACTATGCTTACCACCCCATCCCCCAGGATTTATTCTCTAAAATTAACAACCACTATTCATTCAAATCAGCATATACCTCAAATAATATTACACATATCCACAACTGTCACTGAAGGTGAAGGTGCCTTTAAAGAGCTACAGATAAAAAAGAGACTTACTTAGGAATGGGGGAGAAGATGCTAAGCCCGGCACGGAACTTCTTAATGGTTCCTCCAGCTTTGAACCAGCTGTGCCTTTTCTCCTGCTGGGCCTTGAGGAACTCATTACTTAGGTGCTTCCACTGTTGTGAGGTGAATGTGCTTAGGATCCTGCCACATTACACAACAATAAGAATAAAGTTAACACACACCGGATTATACATTCAGTGAGCATCTAATTAACATTTTTAAATCCATACATTTTAAAAGTAAAATACAAATGGGACTAAAGGCATTCGGGATCTATCACTTACTTTTTTAGTTGCAGGCCAAGGCTGAAACCCTCTTTATTTGAAGGCTGGAATACTTCAACGGATGGCTCTGAGAAAGCAAAGATGAGTAATATTATGGCAAAGTGGACGCATAAACAAACGCTCTTTCTTTCACTTTTTCTCTTGTACAGCACACGTTGTACTCACCTCCCACGTTCAGTGAGTGGCACAAATACCTAATGTCCCTCCCAGAAAACCAACATCCACACTGACATCTTTACTCACCAGGTCCATCGAGGTACTGAGAAAGAGAAAAGCGCAGTCTCAGAATAATGGGCTCTGTTCTGATAACTTTCCAAGCTGTCGCAACCTCCTCCTGAGTCAGACGTACACACACATACACACAAACACACACACACACACAGATACACAAATATACAGAGTTAGCAGCCTAATTAGGAACGTTTCCCATTACATAAATAACTTATGAGCACCCAATGCATTATAAATGATGTGTTACTTTGCAAAATGTCAACCTTAGAATAGTAATTGGCAAAAAATAAAGGAGATGTTTGCAGGGAAAAGAGAATGCTGACTCACATCTAAGAAACCGATGTTAATATGAAGATCGATGTCCACGTCATCAATGGTTCCGTACTCCCTGTTGACAGACACAACAACAGATACGCCCATCATAAGGTATGTGTAATGTGGAACTCAGACATAATCTTATCAACACTCACTTATTTCTTTTAAAGGAATGTGCATAATGTAACTGTGTGCGTCTGTGTGTGCGTATGACTATAATCATCTGTACTGTACCTGACAGACACAGCGCTGTCCGTGTAGATGTCTTTCACAGCCTCGATGTCTGCGTCTAGCTGAGGGTGGCGGTAGAGGTCAGCAGCACAGCTCCCCTGCAACAAGCAGCACTGGTCACAGTTATAGCAATGAATGAATTCTCAATGGTTCCCAACAGTTTTATCCTACTCACAGACAATCTATATAACCCAATCTATCCCACACATGTTACATGCTACAGTTTGAAAACTGGAATGAATGCCACTGTTTTCATTTTGAGGTTAGGAATACTGCATTTAACTTAAGAGTCACTACCTGCGTGGGAACATTTGCCTTTATACAAAAAAAGAAAAAGAAGGTACAGTGCTAAGCACGTTTGACATTTTCCATAAGAAGGCTTTTTTAGATTTACCAATAAAAACCGACAAGTCTTGAGATTTGTCTTATTTCTTAAAGACCGACCCTCATCTGCTCAGCTCAGAGTGTGTAGTACAGATCCCACTCTTCTGCCCTTATCGCCACTGTACTGCCTTCATGTTCTCTGACTTCACTGAAATGAGCTTTACTGGATTTACATTTCAATCAAGACTTGGAAGATAACAGAAAAAGGGGATAACTGACAGATTGAAATCTTATGTGGAAGTGAAGCAATCAGTTTTATGAGATAAAATGATACACTATGTGTTGGCTGTGAAACTGGATATCGTTCGTCACTTGGGGGAAAGGAATAAAATATAAATGATAATATAATCTTTTGAGAGAAAATACGACTTTTACAGACTTTCCCCTTTGCTTTATGTCAGAGGTACATGACATATTTGCTACTGCAAGTGTAAGAACACTTATGTTTCACACTAACATCCAATATTATAAAGGTGCTACATTTCCTGCTCCATTTGAATGGAATCGCTTGTTCTGTGAGACATTATAGTCTAAATGTCTGCATTATCACAGTAAAGTATCTAATCAGCTACTGGCAACATTACCATGACATTTGGTTTGAACATTCAAAAAGACCTTTCAACTAACATCTTAGACTGTGTCATCATCTTAGAAAGTGTTGCTGGCAAATTGCACACAGATATGCATATACATAGCTGTTAAACTATTTTATCAAAATATGTTTACACTAACACCATCATATTTAGAAAAAAAACTGCAAAGCTTACACAGATAGTTTGTTGGTGGTAACTTAAATACATTCAAGCATTCTGTGCTTTTGTGAAATTACATGCATTAGCAGATAGAAATATTCATTAGCACAAGTACTGAAAACACAATATGAATTTTACTGTCAAAACACCAGAATCAGCAGAGAGGTAATAGTGCTTGTCCTACCTGAATGCCATATAGGAATTGTTCGGATTCATTCTCCCCGTCCGACTCTTCATCTGTCCAGCACTGGCCTTTGATGTCCTGTGGGCCCACACATTGTGAAAAGTCCATTGTAGCCAAGCGGAAGGAAAAAGCAACCTCTTTCTAACATCCTTTCCTCACCCATCTCCCTATTTAGCCTCTCATTCAAGAGCTTCAAAACATTGCTTTATATAGCCTATCAAAGGGACAGAAGAACAGGCATGGCTTGTCTCTGAAAGAGATTTTTCTACTAAAATGTAACCTCAAAAGAATACCAAACTGGCTGTGAAAACAGTGAATTTTGGAGTACAATAATAAAATGTCTTGTTATTTCCACATCTTGAGGGTTCAGATACATGCCTGCAGTTTGTGTCTCACAGATAAAGCTACTATGATATTTAGATGTACCCTATATATGGAGTCACAATTTTGTATATACAATGCCAAATTGTTAAATCCATTTTTTACAATGATTTGATCAATTTCAAGTATGGCAAAAATATTTAAATCAAATTCAGTTTTTACACCAATAGGATCCCAGATTTCTTACCATTGGGTCTGCTGTTCATAGGGCTCTCTCAGACAGGTTTGGGCCTTTGATTACAGCCAACCATTGCAGCCTTTCTCCAGCTGAAAGGAGTAAGAAAAGAATTTTAAATGATCGCCTGCTTCTCTCACTCATCTGAGTGGAACAACCTAAGAAAAGCATTGAGCTAATATTCAGCAGAGAAAGACATCATGAAACAAAAGGCTGTTGCCAGTGATGCCATGCTCCGTCACTGGTGCCCTCCTCCTTTTTTTCTTTAAATCATCTGCACTTCACCTTGCTATGTATCCTAGCAACAGCCATCTCTGCCTCCTTTCAGAGTGGCATTAATCACTGTAGAGAGAATGTGTGGGAGATTTCAGCTATACTTTCTGTATCCAGGATGACTTCAGTTCTTTGTTTAGATTTTTTTCCAAGAACACTATCTATTAATATCAATACACTGGAGGTTCATACACATTTGAAGAACAAAGTAAACAGAAAAGCTTTTGGCTGCATCCCATTGTTGTTGTTTTTTTTATATTGTTATCACATGTCTGCTGTAAATGTAAAATATCTGATATGCCACAGAATTGTGTGCATTAGCCTCAGAAGAGCTTAGGCTTTGTTCCTGTATGTTCTATATGTACTATATATCATGATTAGATAGAGATGTATGTTTTTCCTTACAAAGAAAAGTTACAACTGTGAATAATTTACAGAAGAGAATATGTCCAGGCTCAGAGACAAATTGTTACAATTTGGGAAGATTAAAGAAATGTTAAAGAGCATTATTGACTTGCAAGATATACTATTTCTTCAAAAGATATAAACAATGACTCTGGTGTCCTTACCACCTGCAAGTCCAGATGATGTTCATTACACTGCGGCATCGTAATAAAATTTACAGTTAACATTTTCTAGAACACGACAAAACATGACGGATGAAGAAATACATAAAACCCATGCAAACAAAGACTGGATGGTAACATGGCTTGGCAGTACAAGAAATAATATCTAAAAAAATGAATGCATTTGGTTAAGCATAATCAAAGAAGACTCATTCTCCATTTTCCCTTTGGTCACTGCATTGACTGAGTGATGTTTACATGTTTACAATAGCAATTCTTCAAAACTGCCAATAATTGTTTTTTTGTGTCTTTTTGTATTTTGTGTCATTTCTGAGTGTGTCCGGATTTGTCTCTCCATCTTGTCTCCCAAAATCACTCTAATCTTCCGCCTCAATCCTTTCTTCTTCCTCAGCTCCTGATTTTTTTTCTATGCATGCTGCTCAGCTATGTCATCAACCCTGCTAGCATCTACATTCACATCCCACTCACCCCTGCACTCGCTGCCATTCTCCTAGCCTCCGTCGTCTCACATACCAATAGAGCCACCAGAACACTCAACAAATCCACCCCTCACACATAAATATTCAACACACCATATTGAATACGCTGCCATTCTAATTCCTCTTTTCCTTTGATAAGTGTTAAGCACAAACACAGATGGAGCCAGGCAGATTTTCCCCTCCCCCTACACTCTGCGCTCCCACCGCATCCATCCACACTTACCTCCAGAGAGGATGGAGACTCGGATGCTGTCCTTGCCTCAGCTGCTCCCCCTCTTAAAGGGCACACCTGCTTCTCTCTCTCTCAGTAGCAGCCGTTTTCAACTGAAATGATAGAATATAATGAGCCTGTCAAAATAAGGAACTGGAGAAACAGGAGCGCCGCAAATCTACAACGCCCGTCTCTTGATGCTCGTGATGTGTGTCCGCAAGCGAGCCAGCTGGTGTGTTGGTCTCTGTGTTTATCTATTGCAGATCTCTGCTCTTACTGTTCTCCTGTATTTTGCCTGACAACACTGAGGGGTCTGGGCATGCTCAGTGAGCCAAGGCAAATCAGTCATGTGACTCGCAGCTGACTGCACTGCTGCTGAGAAAATAATAAGGAAAATAGCCCCTCTGACTCTGTGCATGTGTGTCTAGGTGTGTGATTACATAAATGAGTATTAATTATAATTTTATAGTGCTTTAAAAAAGTGCTGTTGTGTCTTATAAAATATATTCAGTTGCACAAAAAGATTATGTTTCATAAGCTACAATTGAGCTTTACATTACAGCTGCACTGCATGCTGCAGACTGTGCACATTTGGTCAATATATTGGTTTCTTAGTTCTCTTTAAAAGTTATTGTCCTATTAATTGCAAATATTTTATAACTTCCATGAAGGTCTGTGTCATTGTGCATATGTCTGAGATAATAGTCATTAGGCCTGTGAGCTAATCAGTATTTACCCTCATTGTCTACAGCTATCTATTTTAGACCTCACAGATTAATGGACAGTTGTCAGGCCAACTATCCCCTTGATAGATGACTATAGTCCAGAGTATTACATATCATTTGATTCCTTTGCATGATCGGTACCATATTAAACAAAAGGTCATCAACTTTAGCTACATGATATAAACATACGGGTTAACATATCCCTTTCTGTACCTGCTTAATGCTATTCAAGGTAGATAGAGCCTATTTCAGCTGCCAATGGGCAGGAGGTGGAATGTGATCAGCCTACCAAAAGACAAGCACAGAGGCAGCCATAAGCACTCATACAGATATTGAGATATTAAAAATCAGGAATGTGTTTTGGACAATATTAATCTCAATCACATAGGATAGCTAACGTCAAACAGAAAAGGCTTTAACTGAGAAATATTATTGGCATGGGGTGACTACGCTAACCATCACGCCACTAGCCTTGTTTTAAATCAAACATCTTGTAAGAGTATGTGATTTTCAATCAAATATGTATATATTCAGATTTTCCCTTTTGACAATATTGTAATCTTAATCTGATTATCATTTGAAATAATTGTATCGAATTTCATCTGTTATTTTGTCATTATTAATTTTTGTGTATTTGTCATGTTGATTCCTTACTATTCCTGAAATCTTTGTTATCTGTTGTTTCATGAGAGCAGTAACATATTCAGAGGCTTTAGACATCATATTTGTTCATGAGAGATTTATACAAGCACATTCCCAGTGTCTTACTGTTCCACAGTGGGTCAGGCGTTAGCAGCTATTAATGCTGATTGACAGTTGGGATCTTCACCGGTGGACAAAGGGACTCCACAACTGTTTTGTTTCTTACCTGGGCAGGTGTGTCCATTGGCCTCAAACACTGGAGTGGCGTGGATCTAGCCCGAGGCAGTCAGCAGAGTGATAGATCAACATGGGCAGTGGGAGTAGCAGCGGTACCAATACAACTGTGATCGGGTGAGAGGAAAATCAAACAGGTGGAGTGGGTGTGACTCATTTTACACTTTGCCAGTCCAAAGAAAACATAGATATTGCTCATAATCTTATATATATATTGAGTAATCTGCACTCTCAGGACTACTGTTGCACATTGATATAGCTAATCTTGGTAGTATACGTTTAAATCTGAATCTTGTTATAGTTGATATGTGGTCGGCATTTGCACCCGTGTTGAGGATTTACTTTGTGTTAGACCTCTATTTCATGGAGCTGATTATAGCAACTACATAAGAAAAAAACTGCAATAGTGTCATGCAGTATCTATGATAGAAATACAAACATATATGTCAGTCAATGGTTTTATTATTACAAACAATATTAGATATCTGATTAGTTTAATCTTTGTTTGATATAATGGCATCATGTCATGGTGTGTACATTTTTCTATTAGGAAAATTTGTATTTACCATCATTCATTTGTAATCACTTGCAGCAATTAAATAATGAATGTGGAAAACATACTTTTAGTATTACTTAACATATAGGTTTTGTATACTAAATATTAGGTACCAATACAGGAAACTGTCCAATACCCAATTCCTAAAAAAAGAGGGATAAGTTAGCACATTTAATAAAAGATAACTGAATAATAGAATTCAAACTACACATGGTGGTTGTAATTAATTTTTAAAATGTGGTTATTTGATCTTTTGTGTAAGTGGACACTTCTTTCACTACCGTCATTCATCGGTAGATGGAGACATTGCCTCACATTCGGCACAGAATCAATTTCACGGTTTCATCAATTCAGTGTTTTGTGTACTGTTAAGTTCTGTCAGATCTTTGTACCATATTTTAGTAGGGAAAAAGAGATGCACAATTTTATGATGAAAGCACACACGATTATGAATCACAAGAACCTTTTTTCTCATAGAAACAAATTATGTAGCCACAATATTCTGATGAGCAATTTACATCTATGTGGATTATAATTTCGAATAAAAGCAATCAATCGAAAAATATTGAAAAAGTAGGCACATTGAGTTTTTTTATTTTCTATAAGGAAACTTCTACTCACCATGCAGTCACATGTCGGAATTCAGGCTTTTCTGATGCATTCATGCGCCCTGATTGGCTACCAGCCTTACCGAGCTCTTCCATCACGTAGTTGTATATCCTTCCGCGTCGCTCAAAATAATGATTTTCTTCTTCTTTTTTTTACACCAATCCTTCACTTTTCACGACGATGATACGGCAATAAATCATCCAAATTGAACATAATTTATGGCCTTGGCTGATGCTACTTTGTGTGGTCACTCTTTTTATTTATCTATTTATTGTCGGATGGATATGTTTCAGCATCCCTAGAAAGTAGTTCCAGTGAATTAGAAAATAGAAGAGATCACCTTGAGCTGGGCTCACTCCCAGCAGTCACATCGCCACGAGCATACTTAACAAGGTGGGTACCGTTCACAGGGCCTGCTGTTTGACATTTATCAGTATTCTAAATAACTATTTTCATTTTTCCTTTTTTGAAAGCTTTTGACCACATTGTTGCTGTATCTGTCTCTTTCACGCTGGTAATTTAAGAAAATATTTGTCTGAAATAGATCTGTGGCTTATACTCACTTCCGGTGAAACATAATATATATCAAACTAATTTTACAAGTTGTAATCTATGTGGATAATCTTTACAATCGATCTATATATTTGTTCATGGGTCTTTATATACCGGCTTGGTACGTGTTCAAAAACGCTGTGACTTGATACTGCACTGAATTAACCAATTATTTCAGCGAATTTCCGCGAGATTCAAACAACTCCTTGCATTGAAAACTACTAATATATTGTAATCTTACAATATTGCCAAAGTTTATAGCTGTAAAAAGCTGATATTTAGCGTGATGCGTCGTGTTAACCGTTGTAGAATCGCTTCCTGTTGCCTCCCGTTGTGGGTGTGGCCCCTCTGGTTTCTCGGCCTGCCATTGGTGAATCGCTGTAATGTCTCGAGATCAGGAAAATGTGACGCAGGATGAGAGAACGTGACCTCTGCCGCATCGTCTTTGCTGCTGCTTCATTTTTATAAGGTGGTTATCTTAAATTGCCAGCGTTATAAATGAAAAATGCCTAAGATGTCGGTTGTTTTTTAACAATCAACTGTTTTTGTAATACAACTTCCCACTAGTTCGTGTTGGGGAATGGATTCTTCATTCAAACATTTTTATGTAACATCCTCCATTTCCTGTGAAGAACTTTCAAATCACATAAATTGGGATAGTTCATGAAAATGAGAATCCTTTGATGATGAATGCAGCATGAGACCGTTTCAGTGCCCTGCTAGTTTCACTGCAGTATCTCACTGCTGAATTCAAAGTCTTGTGATATGTTACAACGCCCCTGACCAGACACACCTTAGACTGACCTGCAGCATTCGCTTGCATATTATTTGGCAAAAAAACAAATTTCTGCAGACCCTGGTGTTTTGCTGGTTGTATCCAAAACATTTTAACCTCGGGGAACTGGCTGCTGGAAATGTCAAGTGACACTGAATTTGTTAAAAGCAAGAATATTTGTGTACAAACAATCATATGCCCATAAATGTAATTTGCTAAAAAAAAAAAAAAGAACAAATGTAATTATTTCTGAAACCTATTTTATAATCTAAACATATTTGGGCTGCTGTTAAAAGTATGAAAGTTAAGCAGCTGCAGAGTTGATGGTCAGTGGGAGAGGCCTGACCTATAGTAGCTGACACTACCCTCCCCCCCATACAAGAACTCCTCATGTTTACATGCTTGTTTGGTGTGTTATTTTGGTGTGTTATTTTGCATAGAGCTGTCTCTTCGGGTTTTTTTTGCCACGACAAGTTAACTTATGCTGACTTGACTGGAAGTTCAGTTTGATGCAAGGCGTTTCTACCCAAGATGGCCTGATGTATTGATAAACCTGAACTGGTTCAAGCAGACCACCAAATAACTGCATGACCGTTCAGTGGCTGAGTGGCATAGTGTGAGTACCATCGTACATTTTTTAGTATTGCATGACGGACACTGCACGCTGTGTGATATATATAGCATAGATTCTGATTTTAGCCTTCAGCTTGTATGAGGCGTGCTGGCAGTAACACCGATGTGACAGCGTTCTGATGTTCCGTGGTGGAAGTCTCATGTGCCTCTATTGGATCAGGTCATGCCGACTGCCTGGTTATAGCATCCGGTCTTCGCGTCCTTTATCCTCATTGAATGGATTTACTCTTGAGCTCCTAAAAGTGTCGCACTTACGCGCACACACGGCATCCGTCAGCTCTGCTGCTGCGAGGAATAGCTTGTTCACTGGCACTGGACGCTTAAGCACACTGGGGTGGCTCTGGAGGTCATTGTTGTTAACGTGCTTGATTGTCCCCAGGAGGAGCAGGAGGATCTACAGGGGGTATGTTGAGTACTCTTTAAATGGGGTTTTGGTTGAGTGGGTGTTAGTGGTTAAGGGCATCTACTATCTGTGAGTCAAATTTGGAATAACCCAATCATAGTGGATGATAGTGAGCGATATGGTGCACGTCATGCATGTTAGTATTTAGTCAGGTTACTATGACTCAATATTGATGACTAATTTCATAGGTAAGTAATGACTATCATAGACTTTCCTTACAACAAAGGTTGTTTCTGAAGTACTTGTGTTGGAAAGGGATTGGAAAGGATTATTATGGAGCCAGCTCTTAAAGTAGTCCTGCATCTGTGTCAGAGTTGCTGCGGTTCGTCTATTGTGGGTGCACACTTGCTGTCCAGGGGCCGGACAAGATACCAGTGTTTGTTGGCAGACTATTCCTGCTGATAACATCATATATTTCCATAACAACCATGTTCTGACTCCAAATGACAGGCTCAGAAATGTACTTCTAACTTCTGAGGGATGTTCCCACCAGATTTGAAGACCTTTACATGACAGACGTGTCATGTTCCCTTTAATATCAAGTCTTTACCTGATCATACAGGCAGCTTTTTTCTTTTTTTTCAGACATGTTGTAGCTCTCTACACAAGATAAAATTCCATTCCCTTTTGTCAAACTTTAAACCACTGTTGCATAATTTGTATTAAAAGGCCTGTTTTGCATTTTGAAATGTCCTCTTATCCCCCCCTTACCTCCTCCCTGCAGTGTCCCAGTGGTTCATTGCATGTGGGCAGTAGGGGGATGTGACTGTGCTCACGTACAGCACTGGTCTTGCTCATTGATGGAAATTTGACATCATCAGTCTGCAGCTCCTGTTGGTCCTCTGGATGGAATTCCCTGCCGCAGTGCATTTGAAATGAGGACGTGATGAGTCACAGGGAGCCAGACCACAAGTGTTGTTAGAGGTCGCTGTGATTTTGCCCTCTGCTGCAGATGCACTAGCACACAGACATTTCTTTTTCATCCCCCCCCCCCCCTCAGAGTACAGCAGCCTTGGTAATTTATGGTCTTGCTGGCTGACATTGAAAATTAAAGCAGGTGTAACCATTTATTATTAGCACTTCTAAACTTACAATCTAAACGGGTATTATCTTGTTTGGACCACTTGCTGAGAGTTAGTTTAAGATGATATGTCCTGCAATCAGTCAGTCAGTGAAGTGCTCTGGGTTGGATGGGGCTTCCATGTATAATTTAACTTCATGGAAACATGATCCCTCCATGGGGTAATCCAGACTGTGGATTGAGTTGACACAATGTACAGTTAAGGTACTAGCACTACTACCGTACTATTAATGCTATGAACAGTTAGATCTTATCCCAGATCTTAAAACATTTTTAGAAAGAAGCCTATTTTTAGAAAATATTTTTGTTTTAATAGCATACTAATCACATTTGTTCCACTCCCTACCACCAAACAGGCTGGCTATTGTAGCTTCTTTTTTTCTCTCTTTGCTGGGAGAGCTGTGTTGCACTTATGTAACACAATGGCACCCAGAACTGTGAAAGAGGCAGCTTTACCCACCCTAACAGACACAATCACCCAAACGCGCCTGTCTTTGGGTCAAGGAGTTTATACATGGAAGGGATGTAGGTTTACAGGTAGAATTAAATGGGGCGAGGAAAGGAGAAGTTCTTTCGAGTTGCGCAACAGTATTTTGAAAACTGGATTTTAAGCAAACGTCTCTTCTGTTCTGAAAATAAGGCCGCACATCATAAAGAAATTCCCGTTGCCTCTCAATAGTGTTGCAATGGGTGACTCAGCATAAGTGGGTGGGGTACAGAATGTACAGTGTTGTGGAGCAGCTCGATCAGCCATACTGTTGTCATCCTTCATGGCCGATCTGTTGCTTTGCTCCAGTTTAATCCTGATTTTCTAACCAAAGCATCTACTTTACTGTAAGTGCAGATCTGAAGCACAGAATGTTGCAGTGGGATGTGCACGTTGGAGACTCCTCAGTCTACTAACTGTTCACTGTTGTCAAGCCTGATTGCCAACAACAAAGGACAGGAAAGAAAAGTGCAATTCAAAATACAGAAATTTAAGAAATTAATCTTGAAATTAAACATTCACAGGGATGCAGGCAGTTAAATGTTCCTGAATTCAGAACATCAATAGTGGACCTGTGCTACATGCCTGTTGTCACACATGCGAAAATCCGAAATAACTTGTATGCCATTGGCTTTTCCTCTGCTATTTTTTTCCTTCTCTTCTGTCCTCATGTAGAACCTCTCCACAAATTGCCATGCCTCAGACCAAGTCAGACATGGGCTCTGCCTTCATCCAGACTCAGCAGCTCAATGCTGCCACGGCCGACACTTTCCTGGAACACATGTGCCTGCTGGACATCGACTCTGAGCCCACCACTGCACGCAACACTGGCATCATCTGCACCATAGGTTGGTCATTGCTTTCTGTTGGCAGTTCTTTAAAATTCATACTGCCATATATGATGGAGTGCTGTAGTGTCGTTACCAGAGAACGTATTCAAATGATTTAATCAAAATATCCGTCCTATAGGGCCAGTCTCTCGTTCAGTGGACATGCTGAAGGAGATGATCAAATCTGGAATGAACATTGCTCGTATGAACTTCTCGCACGGCTCACATGAGGTACTTTTTTTTTTTCCTCCCACACCCAATTGTACAGTTTGAACATATTGCACAAGGAAATCTATCATTCAGATAGTAAGGTCTTGTTTTAACTCCACCCACTCTGTGCTTTATCACAGAATGGTTGCTGTTGGTATGCACAGCTACGTGGAAAATTCATCCTTTTTCATGACTTCCGTTGGGTTAAACAACTATTGTGAAAGTTTGCCTTCAACAGAGTTGCAACGGATAAGCACGACATGTATTCTGAACTCTATTCAACTCTAAGCTTTAAGCAATATGAGGACTGCCAGCATGGACCAATACTTTGGTTATCTTAGTCAAGGTTAAATGTTTGCTCGTTGACCACATTCAATTCGTATATGATGCAAAATGTATTGTTCTCACCATCAGTTGGGTGACGAAAGAAGAAAAGACATTGGTTCTTTACTAATTATCCACAGCTCTTCATACACCAAAATCCACATTTGCCTTCTTCCCTAAAATTGACTAGATAATGTTGGCCAGTGGTCTTTCCCTCCCACTGTGAGCACCGCTCTTTAGTGTGCACCAGCTAACACATAAACCAAATATTTCCTCTTGCCTGACATCATGCTTCAACTTGCTTTCAAACCCTGTAGCTTCAATAACATCAGACTTACTGCCAACTGTCTGTTTTCTTTTTTCCATTATCCTTTTCGTTACTCTGTATATTTTTGCCACACCATCTAGGGCTGTCGTAGTGCAGCAAGTGTAGTTGCACTCAGTTGGCAGATTGAGAAACAGCAAATGCCATTATCAGCTACTTAAGTAATTCCTAAAGGCCCTTCTTACCCAGGTGGGCCGCGCAGGCCATGTGCTGCAGACAGCTGTCCTCACAGCCACAAACACTGCTCTACCTCTTAATTAGCCTCCATAAAGGTTATGAAAGCTGTCATACTGAATGTGTTCTCATCCAACTTTCCCCACAAAGAGTAAGTTGTAGCAGCCGCTGTGACAGCATAGCAATCAGCATGACCGACAACAGCATTTCTTAGGCAAACGGTGCGCTTGTATTGTTTCTGTAATCCCTCTAAACAGACCTTCAGCCAGCATCAGTTTAAAAAAATAAATAAATAAAAGGGCCACATTATGACAGATTTGTCCATTTAATTTGCAAGCTTTTGGGACTGTGCTTGGATTCAGTTTGCTTGGTGTTACTGTGTATCAATACAGACTAACGGGAGGAAGTTGGTCTTGAGAAACTGCCACTTCTTTAACTGACTCAGGACTTTGTAATAAATCAGTGAGTTGTCACTGCTGTCCCTCTTATCATGTGTCATTTGATTAAGGTGCGCCCAAGGACGAGCACACATTATGGCAGCCTTTTATCACACAGTTTGATCCAGTTTATTGCTGCCAACAACTTTACAATCGGTTCCCACTTTTCAAATGCATCCTCCTTGCCTTTGTACATGTTAAAGGATGCTCATTTTTTCCATATTTTACTAAAAGACTTTCAGTTTCTATCAGGCGCACCTTATGTTTCAAGGATACAGCACACATGACTCATTTTATGATTGTGAGTTATCAAACACACCTTGATAATTCGCACAACTAAAACTGTACTCCCCCCCCTTGTTGTTCAGTGTCTAGTCTTCTACACACAGATGCTGTGCAGATTTAGATTGATTCAATTCTGTCCTTCTGTAGTATCATGGAGAGACCATCAAGAATGTGCGTGAGGCCTGTGAGAGCTTCGGGCCTGGCAGCATTCAGTACAGGCCCATCGGTATTGCCCTGGACACCAAGGGCCCAGAAATCAGGACTGGCCTCATTCGGGGAGTAAGTTTGTTTTGTTTTCTTCTTTCTGGTTGGCTACACCAGAACCTTTTCAAATGGGTGGGGAACATCTGTTAATGAAGCCAAACGAAACGTGACTTTATCCCTGTTGTGGATGTGACAGAGTGGCACCGCTGAGGTGGAGCTGAATAAAGGTAGCATGATCAAGATTACCATGGATGACGCTTACCAGGAAAACTGCAGCGATGAGATCCTGTGGCTCGACTACAAGAACATTACTAAAGTAGTGGAAATTGGCAGCAAGATCTACATTGATGACGGACTCATTTCCTTACAGGTCAAGGAGATTGGTGAGTGTTAGTGAGAGGTGTGGCACCTCATGGATCTACTGATTGCCCCCCAACTCATATATTATGGTTGTCCTCTAAGGGTCTGATTACCTGATGTGCGAGATTGAGAATGGTGGCAGCCTGGGCAGCAAGAAGGGTGTGAACCTCCCCGGTGCCGCTGTGGATCTGCCCGCCGTGTCAGATAAGGACATCAAAGACCTGCAGTTCGGTGTTGAGCAGGGAGTCGACATGGTCTTTGCATCCTTCATTCGCAAAGCGGCAGACGTACACGCTGTCAGAGCAGTGCTGGGAGAGAAAGGCAAAAACATCAAGATCATCAGCAAACTGGAAAACCACGAGGGTGTCCGCAGGTGTGTGTGCTTGGACACGTGGGCATTTTACATGCAAAACTACTCTATGGAAATGACCCAGCATGACCCATCGTATACATGCTAGTTATTTGTTTTCTGTCCTTTTTACAGATTTGATGAAATCATGGAAGCTAGCGATGGCATCATGGTTGCACGTGGCGACTTGGGTATTGAGATCCCAACAGAAAAGGTCTTTCTGGCCCAGAAGATGATGATTGGTCGCTGCAACAGAGCTGGCAAGCCAATCACATGTGCCACTCAGGTCAGACAGTGACACGGCAAAGGCTGCCTCTTAAGCTGGATTTACCCAGGAGAACGGCTTTGTGCAGATGACTGAATGCGCTTCCAGGTGTCCGGTGTGTGAAACGTTGCGTTTAATTTCCCCTTCAGATGTTGGAGAGCATGATCAAGAAACCCAGGCCGACCCGTGCTGAGGGTAGTGACGTAGCCAATGCTGTCCTGGATGGGGCTGACTGTATCATGCTGAGCGGGGAAACTGCCAAGGGAGAGTACCCTCTTGAGGCCGTGCGCACACAGCACATGGTGAGTTCATGTACTGTAATGACAATGAAAAACACAATTACAAGTGAAGAATTCATGTTTACATTAGTTTATAGGATTAGTTACTCTGATTTTAAGAAATTGAACACAAAAAAGCAGCTTCTTGGAGATTGAGCTTTTCTGATTTTTGTTTGTTCATCTGTACACTACATCCCCCCTTTTCTTTCCCTCCCCTGGCCAAATTGCAGTGACTTTTTAGAAAAGCTAATCGGAAAATAATCTGTCTCTATGAATTAATTGTATTTATTTTTTTTTATAATTGCTTTGACAAAGCATGAAAATCCTGATGAGTTCATTTCAGCTCTTCAGGAGTTCTGTACAGATTGACTGCTGCCTATTGTCCTTACCATGCATGCGTTGACCCTTTTTGTGTCCTGGAAGTAAAACGACTTCCTCCCTTCAATGGCACGTCGGTTCTTTTTGCCAAACCAGACTGAATGCCTGTTGGCTGCAGCTCTTCATCTAACACACCACAGCTCTCTGCCACCAACTGCTTTGCAGAGGAATCTCCACTTTTTTTTTTTCTCCAAAGACCTGAAGTTCTTGAATACCTACATTAAGTGTTGTATTCTTCATTAGATAGACTTTAAAAAATACTTCTTCTTTTTTTTTAGTTTAAATGGCAGCAAGCTTGGAATGAATGTAGGTTTTCTACATAGAGGGGTGAAAGGTGCATTAAGGGCTCACCTGGCGCAGTAGGCACCACTTGGGTCTCTGTGGAACTGGCAGTAATGTTTCTGATTCAGGGAAAGACGAACAAAGCACCAAGTAGAGATCCAGTGCAGATGTCTGTGACTCAGCAGTCATAGCGCTCCTGTAGTGAGAGAGCCTGCTGCACTGCTGCTGAAGTCGTAACTGACGCCTCAGGATCTAGAGTAAAGCTTCAATTTAGTTGATTCCAGATGACTCATTAGTGAGGGGAAGCAAAACTCTCTAACCAAGCTAACCAACACGCCATTGTTGCTAAAGAGTTGGTGCTGCTTTCTTTTTCCTGGCCTCACAATCTAACAATCTTATTAATTTTGTGTGCAGTGTGTGGCATCTCTAGACCCAGCTTTTAGTTTTTAGCTGCCCCTCCATTCTAATAGTGATGTATAACATTTGAAAGCTATTAATGACAGTCCTGTTTTTAAAGTGTTCATTTCACTGTGATGTTGCTTTAACCTAATTAGATTGTATTTAAATTCAACGTAAAAAACTAATGTTACATTTTGACAGTTTTAATGTTGTTTTCCTGTGTTTTCCCCACTAACTGCACACCTGAACTCTTCTATTAACTGTCCCTGACCTTAACTTTCTTTTCTTCTGTTTCTTCTTTCCCCCCCCTTTTCTATTTTCTTTTCTTTTTTTTTTTTGTTTCCCCTCTATACATTGTTCTTTCTCTTCGATCTGTGTGCGCGCCTGGTGTGGGAATGCATTTGCTTGATGCATCTTGCCCCGGTTTGTGCCAGATTGCTCGTGAAGCAGAGGCAGCCATGTTCCACCGGCAGGTGTTTGAGGACCTGCGTCGTTCCACGCCGCACTGCAAAGACCCCGCAGAGGCCATTGCAATCGGCGCTGTCGAGGCTTCCTTTAAGAGCTTAGCCTCTGCGATCATTGTGCTCACAGGCTCTGGAAGGTAGGCAGGTTATCTGGTCCCGGCACGCCGTGGAAGTCCCTGTCGAATACCTTTTTGAGAGAGGGAGTGTAGGGTCAGACGAGGATTGGTATAGGGAGTAACTGGGAGAACTGGCAAACACCTTAGCTAGACTTCTACTCTTCATCTGTCAGTGAACGTTTTAAACCTTTACCAGCTGTAAAAATTCCAACATTAAGCACCAGGCTTTCCTCACTGGATTGGCGATTTTTCAGATTTAACCAGGAGTGTAGCTCTGTGTTTGCCGGTCGCTCCCAGCCGTGTGAGTGCCTCTGCATGCAGCTGGGGCCTGCGTGATTGAGAGTAACCACAGGCCCACCCTTCCATTCGGGGCCCAGATAGCCCGTGAGGCCGAAGCAGCCACCTTCCACAGACAGCTATTCGAGGAGCTGCGGAGACACTCCCGCCTGAGCAGAGACCCCTCCGAGGCTGTGGCTGTTGGAGCTGTGGAGTCGTCCTACAAATGCTGCGCTAGTGCCATCATTGTTCTGACTAAGACTGGGAGGTAAGAAAGAGAGGGATAGTGGTAAAAAGGCCCCAGAACGGAGGGTAAGTGTTTTTAACTCACACCAGCCTACTCGACATGAGTTTAATTCTCCCTCCTTTCATTTTTTTTGGTGCGTGTGATGTTATGTGTGTGTATTAGTTTGTAATAATAGGGTGGGTTGTAGAAGCTGATTTTGTGTGAATGTGTGAACTGTCATTGGCCCAGTCCCTGTCTGCTCATAAAGTGTTTCTCACTCCTGATTTGAAATCTGAGTGAGGAGCTCAGTATCCTGGATGTAAAATTACCCATCGACTACAACTGAAATGTTGTAATATCATAGAACTGATAAACTTTAGCGTGAACTATAGTTTTTCATGCTTAAAACTTCAGTATTATAGGAAATACATTTTCCACTTTGATGGCCCAAAGCCTGTAATGCTTCCAAATGGAAGTGTTGGATAGCAGACATCAGCTGGGCTGCTGACAGCGATCTAAAGCCTCTGCACTTGCATGACGTGTTGTCACTTGTTTTGGTTGCTTTGACAGAGCGAGTGTTAAACAAATGCCATGCAGTCAGTGAGGTGTGACAACTCAACATGTTTTGCTCTCCTTTGAGTCTATGGAGTAACTTCAGTTTAGAAGAAATATTAAAAAATGAAGGCTCTCAACCACACAGAAGTCTAAACATGGCAACATATCTGAAAACACTTGAAATGGGCCAGTGGAGTTTTCTATCACAATTATTTATCAGATTTCTATGTATGTGTGTGGTTAATCAACACATGAGTAAAAGGATTACATTATATATAAAACAAATCAGTCCTGTAAAATAATACTAGTCAATTGGTGTAATTCTTTAGTTCCTCTGTGGGACAGTAACACATTGTTCTGCAATGTTCTGTGCTGCATTCCAACATCCATTATGTCCCTAAAACTGCACGGTGTCATCACGGTGAATGATCCATCAAGTCAATGTTTTGGGGAAATGTTACCAGACCAGTATGTGTAGAGAAAGCTGCACATAAAAGTATCTCCACCTCTTAACACCTCAGAAAGGGGCTTCTCGCATACTGATACTCCATTAGTATCTGTTTTGCATTCAATGTCACAGCAAAAATCTTAACAGAATAGAGATATCTTGGTCTGATTTTAGTTTTCCTATCAGACGAACACCAAAGCCAGTAATGCTTCCCATTCTGTTGCTTCCTGGTGCTGTGAATCTCGGATGGGTATGAATTGTAAAGACTTGAAATGAAATTGGTATTGGCACATACTCATCACAGCTCCCGCCTACATCAACGCTAAATGGCATATTATCAATAACATGGGCATATGAGGTCATTTCCAGTTGGTGAAGCGTTGAGTTATTGTAGTTGCCACCGTGCTGCTGTGTATGAACCTGCTTGTTCTTAGCTGCATTTTGGTGTGTTTGCAGGTCTGCTCACCTGATCTCCAGGTACAGGCCGCGGGCCCCCATCCTGGCCGTAACCCGTAACGCCCAGACGGCGCGCCAAGCCCACCTGTACCGCGGCATCTTTCCCGTGCTGTACACCACACCCGCCAACGACGTGTGGGCAGAGGACGTCGACATGCGCGTCAACTTCGCAATGGAAATGGGTGAGCTGTTCTCTGTCCAACAGATCAGCACCATGAGCTGTTTCATGGTGCTGTTGGGGGGGGAAAAAATGGAAAAACATGTTGTGGAGGCTCCGTTTTGGTGGAGTCCTTGAATTAAATTTTCTGTCCAGCTCTCACGTAGAACACTGTTCAGACATTTCTGCTGAGAATTTTTTTTTCTTCTTGTGTTAAACCACCTCATGTTGGATTTTCCAGGCAAGGCCAGAGGCTTCTTCAAGGAGGGTGACGTTGTCATCGTGCTGACCGGCTGGCGTCCTGGCTCTGGCTACACTAACACCATGCGTGTGGTTGTGGTGGCCTGAAAAGCTAACGAAGCTTCCCCGCTCCCTCCCTTCACTTTCATAGTTCTCCACCCCACACCACACTCCTGCTCTCAGCCCTCCTCATGCAACACCAGGGCTCACAGAATCAGATATTTAGCTTTTAGAATGCAGAGCAATGGTGATCTGAGCGTTGCCTTAACGGCCCTCAAGCTATTTTGGGCCAAAGAGGATTTTGGCTCTATACAATTCCATTTAATGCATCCATTCCTATCAACATAAATGTTTTTTTGGTTGTTTTGTTTTTTTTGGTCCCCTCTCTCCTCTCACCAGTCTTCAGGGCCTCAGATAAATGCACCCTGACCAGAAACTGCTGTATTGATTCACTCCAATTTGAATTTCATTAAAGGTGAATTCTTTGGGTGGATGCGTCCTCGTCGGTGTGCATGATGTGTGTTCTCGCTGTTTGGGTGTGGACGGTGGGGCGTTTTGACTTTATTAGAACCCCTTCAGCACTGTATCGGCTTACTGACTTAACACTCCCGCCAGTTTAACGAACAAAGAATAAAAGAAAGGGCTCCCCTCGCGGCGCTGCCTCAGCTCCACCCCCCACCCAAACAGATCTTTCTGTAGTTGCTGTGTGAAGTGTCCTCTAATATGCTGGCTCTTGTTGCGCGTCTGTTAGTGTTGCATTCCTAATCTACTCCACACTTTGTTACATTCGATATAATACTTGATGTTTGTGAATGGTGACTTCTTGTTTTTGGACATCCAATTCTACTTATATTTTGTCTAACCATAGAAAAAGTTAGTTTTGGATGTCGGATCAAGAGATGTTGAAGCGAGTTACTGTTTGTGTTATTGGTTTCATGAAGCCTTTACATTTAGATCACAAGTTGGAAACAATGAATCAGGCTTGGTTCACTGAAATGACTGAATACTTTGAAAGTTGTATTTTTCCTTAAGGGCGATGAGATAAAGTTGTGTCCTAATTCTAATTCCCTTTGTCCTCTGTTGATGAACTACTGTGGCTGTCCTCATAAGTCTCACATGCTTCTGATTGTAATTCTACAGTGTAAAAACTAACCATACGTAAAGGAGTGTTATGTTTTGCTGGTGTACTGAGCTGTCCCGCAAGACTGGAGTTCCATCAATGAAAAATAAAAAAAGATGAGCACCTACCTGAACTCCCATTGCAAATGTTTTTAATTCAATAAGGGGTGACTATAGCTTCTACGGTAACTTTATGGGAAGTAAAGACAAATGAATTTCTGCAATAAGAAAATTGGCAAATATTGCATTTTGAACAGACTAATGTAATGCTTTATTAACCTATAGTGTCAGAATCATATCTTAATGTGACATTACACTCATCACGTGATTTAAGTTACTGCGTGAGTTCATATTAAACGTTTACTGGCAGTCCTGGCTGTACACCACCCCCACCTGCCGGCGAATCTCATCCTCCATCTCGACCAGCAAAAGTGAGTCAGCGTGGGACATAACTGCACTCTCCTTCAGCCCTAAAAAACAAAAAGTACTGATAAACCATCTGCAGGAGCAGTGAAGGGACCATGCTGCCTAGTGGTGAATTTGAGTAATTACTTGTCCTACAAAGACTGATGATTTGGCAATATGTCAATAATAAATGCAAATAGGAATGCTATACCTTTGAGCAAGCACTGTCGGACCTCCTCGGCTTCAAAACGCATCCCTGTACTGTTTGAGAAATTCAGGGGAAAACAAGGTTCTGGCAGCGGGTACTGGGTCTCCTTCCCATTCACCACTAATGACGTGGGGCACCACATCTGAGTAGGGATCTGAACAAACCAGATCGTTAGGATCAAGTTAGTTTTCCCAACAGTGATGTCAGAATCGTATGACATTTGGGCATATTAGGTAACACACTCCATCATTGACTTACCCTGATGGTGCCCTTTGTCCCCACAATAACTGCATCATTTGTTAGTTGTACACCTGAGGAGTAGGTGCAGACTGCCATTTTGTTCTGGGGGAACTTAAAAGTGACGGCTACAGTTTCATCCACTCCTAAAAAACAAAAACAAGTCAAATATGTTTGTTTACTGACATGAAAAGATGTAAAGAAATAACACACTTAAATAAACAGAAGGAATTACCATATCAGACTGACAGTGTTTTGAAACTCAGCTGGGAATCCTGAGGATTCCCTCAGGATTCACATTAAAAACAGAATTTTCACTGGATATTTATTCAGGGCCAAAGGACTATGATTTTTTCCATTAACTAAATAAATCAGGAACATCATGTTAAATCATTACCTGCCTCTAGACAAATCCCAGTGGCTTGGATACTCTCTGGCCTCTCTCCTTTGTACACCATGCTTACAAGCTGCAAGCAGTACATGCCAATGCTTAGCAAAGCTCCTCCTCCCAGCTCCTTCTGCACTAATCTGGGTACATGCAGCACTGGTATACCGAAGTCTGATCTGACCATCTTCAGCTCTCCCAGCTCTCCCTGAGCCAGCAGCCGTCTGATCTCCACGTAGACGGGGAAAAAGCGGGACCAGACAGCCTGGAAGGAGCACATTTTATAAAGTCACCATGCATGTATATGAATATGTTCTCTTGTAAAAGCTTAAAATGTAAAAGACTGCATTTCATTGTTAAACGTTAACCTGTTTTTCAGTGTATTACAATGTCAAGGTGACTAACTCATCATTCATTAAAAAGATTAATAGGAAAGGCAAAAATACGACCATTAAAAGGGAAATCATCAGGTCTGTTCCAAGTTCACCTCCATAAGGAAGACGTCATTCCTCTTGGCAGAGTCCAGGATCTCTTTCACCTCCTTGGTGTTCATGGCCAGAGGCTTCTCACACAGCACGTTTTTCTTGGCATTTGTAAAGAGCAGACAAGTCTTCAGATGGTGCGGGTGGATATTTCCAACATACACCACATCTGCACACACACCGAGGCACAGAACAGAGAGAATACTGATGGAGGAGGGACTTTTCAGAAGGTTAAAGCAAACCGAGGTGGAAACATCAGCGGGGAATTTAAGCAATTTTGAGATCAACTAAATTAGGTTTCAAGGGAGATCTAGAAGAGGATTGGTAAACTGAGTTGTAAAGCATCAGGTCTGACTGAGGCCTGAAGCTTACAGCTTACATCTGCTGCACAAAGCAGGAGCAGCAGAAGTCAAACAGTCTGACCTACAACCTCTGGCAGAATCTGACCTATGTCTGGGTCTCTGGCCAACTCCTCGTAGCTGCCATAAGATCGGGAAATGCTGTGCTTTTTGGCAAACTCCTGAGCATCCTCCAACTTGCGAGCAGCCACGGCCACGACCTGAAAACACAGTCACAGATGGGTTACTGCACTCCCCCACCTCTCTGAGAGGTTTGCTATTTCTGTCCTCCAATCAATATGCTCACAAGGGCCCATTAAAACACAATGGAAAGTTAACCCAATAAAAAAAAAATCCTCCCTTGGTAAGGTTTTCTTAATGGGACCTCACTGTTGTATCCTCTTGTAACTTTTCTGATAAAGACAAACATAATTTTCAGTACAACTTGTACTGCACTTGCTGTTCTTTCATGCGGCTGAATTATTGGCATATGGTCCCGTGATCAGTGGGTGACGTAAGACAAAAAAAACTGAAATTCCCATGTTGTCTGTCGTTTACGGTAAAAGCCTTTTGTAATGTCAAAGCGCTGGCTCTCAGAAATAAATTACACAAGCTCACAGCATTCCGTCAATGAAAGCCCTGGCAATATAATTCATTAACCACTAGTATATCAAAAATAAAAAATAACTTTTTGTGCAAAAATACTAAGAATCGGTCAACGCGGAAGAAGTTTCAGAGAGTCCTCAAAGGAAGCTCCGCACTAGAAACACAGGGTAAATAAACGTTTGCACTGCTGCAAACAAAAAATTACCTGATGGTCCACGACTGGAAGGGTTTTCAGAGCCACAGAGAAGTCATGACTGATCCTCCCCGCACTACAGATTCCCCACCGGGTCGCCATGCTGCTCACTCCTGCCAAAGAAGCAGGAACTGTACTCCACCACAAGGGGGCGCCAGAACACATGTCTTCAATTGTGTGGCATTAAACGCTCAAGAATTATATATATGGTCAACAAAATAAGTCGATAAATATATTGTTTTAAAATCATATGTGAAATGAAAATGACAAATAAATAAATAAAACAGCCTCATAGATTCCAAATATCTTCATTAAGGCATGGATGAATTGCAGAAAAAGTCATAAAAAAATCTTCATCTTGTTTAAATCTGAGTTTAAATTGTTTAAATTTGAGTTTCTTCTGGAAAAAAAAGATCACTCTATTTTGTATGATTGATTGGCATAACTTTTTGGGAAAACATTTTATAGAATAAAACACACAATCTTGTTTCCAGAAAGGTACAAAAAACAAATGTGTAATTTATGGTTCATCCGAGGCTCTAAATGTATTTTTCAAAAGCCGCATATTCCTGATAGGGTCAATGGATCTGTAGCCTATCCCACATGCAAGCTTCACACAGAAGGGGCCCCAGGTAGGATTTGAAGCAGGTGCCCTGCTGTGAGAAAAATAGTGTGAATCAACCCCCCACCTGAGATGTAAAACCTCAGAATGACATTATGTGGCCTTTTTTCTATCTCATAGCTGATAAGGTAAGCCATAAAGTCTTCCAAGTCTTATTTGTCATTCGACTATTTATAATTGGGAATTTATAACTCACAGATAATTGATAAAGGTTAGTAAGTTGACTAAAAGGACTGAACTTTTAGAACATGGTTTTTCTTTTTAGATAACAATATTGAGATTAATTCCACTTACAGGAGTCTTCTTTTGTGAATATCAGTCTAGAAGGTTCTGCAGAAGCTTTAGAGAGAGTATGAGGTTTAGTATTTGGGTAAAAACACTTTGGATGGACCATTTTTAGAAACTTTATCTCAAATTTGATTTTATTAATGATCTGTCAAAGTATTGAACGTATGTATATATTGATAGGTTACAAATATGTGTTGTAGTCTTTTGCTTTTATGTTCACACAGAAAAGTCAGGCTCCATCTGATTTTTTTTAGGCTACATGAAAAATCGTAACTGAGAAATGATGGACATAAATTACATCTACACATTAAACCAAAGCACAAATTAATGACATACATTAGTGATGATAAATCAACAAGGAGTCATTTTTCATGGCATATTGCTTCTGTTTGATGACTGAGTGAGTTTATATCCAGCCTTTACTGGCAGTCCTGGCTGTACACCACCCCCACCTGCCGGCGAATCTCATCCTCCACCTCAGCCAGCAGGAGAGAGTCAGCGTGGGACATAATGGCGCTCTCCTTCAGCCCTAAAAAAAACATAGTAGTCAATCCATCCACAGGAACAGTGAATGGACTACGCCACCTAGTGGTAAATATATGTGTAACTACTAAGACTGCATGTACAGACCTCAATGTCCTCCAAACACAGATGACTAAGCAAAATCTTAAAAATAAATCTAACCTAGATACTGACTGAAAAAGATTTAAAGTCACGATACCTTTGAGCAAACACTGACGGACCTCCTCGGCTTCATAACACATTCCTGTGCTATTTATGTAGTTTAGAGGCAAAGCCGGTTCTGGTAGTGGATACTGGGTCCCCTTTCCATTCACCACGAATGAAGTGGGGCACCACACACAGGTAGGGATCTGAAAGTTTTAAAAAATATATAATAAAGCATGATCAATAGTAACCATCATTATTATGTCAGATACACATTATTTGGTCTTATATGTTAACACACACCTCCTGTGATGACTTACTCTAATTGTGCCCTTTGTTCCCACAATAACTGCATCATTGGGCAGATCTAAACTTGAAGAGTAAGTAAACACTGCCATTCTATTGTTGGAGAACTTCAGAATGACAGCAGCAGTCTCATCCACGCCTACAAAAAATAGAAATGATGCACACTTTATGAAGATGTTCAACAAAAGTTACATGTTGAATTACAGAAAGTCTCCTGGAAAAATCCTTTCCTGCATGTCTGTCTAATATTCCCATAGTATAACGCGGCCACCGCCATAATTCCCAGCAGATGATGCATGAATAAACAGTTAATCTTAGTTCAGCATGTGCATCAAAGACAACCATCCTGTTGAGTCATTACCTGTCTCCAAGCAGGATGCAGTGGCTTGGATACTCTCTGGCCTCTCTCCATTGTACACCATGCATACAAATTGGAGACAGTACATGCCAATATTCAACAATGCTCCTCCTCCCAGCTCCTTCTGCACTATTTTTGGAACATTTATCAGTGGCACACCAAAGTCTGATCTGACCATCTTCACCTCTCCCAGCTCTCTGTGAGCCAGCAGCCGTCTGATCTCCACAGAGGCGGGGAAAAAGCGGGTCCACACAGCCTAAAAGAGCACAGGGGGGGGGTTTATACACATGCATTGTAGCTTTCTGGATATGTATACACTTACGTCAGTCAACACAAAAAAAAGCTAACTCTGTGCTGAGTGTGAGGTTCACAATCTATTCCAAGTTCACCTCCATGAGGAAGACGTCATTCCTCTTGGCAGATTCCAGGATCTCTTTCACCTCCTTGGTGTTCATGGCCAGAGGCTTCTCACACAGCACGTTCTTCTTGGCATTCATAAAGAGCAGACAGACCTTCAGGTGGTGGGGGTTGATAACCCCAACATACACCACATCTGCACACACACCAAGGCACAGAACAGAGAGAATACTGATTGAGGAGGGATATTCAATACCGATGTCATCTGAAAATGAAGGTACAACCTCCACATATTTTAAGAAATTTTCATTTAACAGCTATAAAAAGCAGGTACATACAGTCCCAGCTAAGCAACACATGACCTATTTCAGTCTGTGTTTATTCAACAGTGAGTGATTTTCTTTCTTTTTAGTTTTAGAGTGAGGATCTTATGACCAACCTCCTTTACAATGTTGCTAATTGTTACGAGTTGGTCACACTTACCAATTATTAATTAATCAAGTATATTTTATAAGTGACATCTGGCTGTTACATGTATTTGAGTCCTACGAAAAAGGAAGGGTTAACTGAGGTATTCAGGCATTGCTCCTTCATTTTGGGCTTAGTTTTCATTACACAGGTTGCTACACACTGTAGTGATCTTGTTAATCAGGAGCTGCAGAGCTGGTCCAGGACGGATGGAAGATTTTATTTAGGAGGCCTCTATTTCTGCCACTAATAGTGAACATTGATAATTTACATACTTACAATAAACCCATTTCACATCCTAATCTGTCATTGGGTATACATGTGTAAATATAAATATAGTATATAACTATGTAAACATAGTATAATTTCTGTGAGAGCAGAGAACAGATTTACCAGAGATATTTCAATATTTAGTAACTAAACCACCAGATAAACATTTCATCTAAACCCAATACCTACTGTATCATTCTTGTTTTTAAAAAACTTTTGCAAAAATAAATTGTAGAGCAAGAAGAATGAGAGAATGGTACTATTAGGGTTCTTTCTACAAGAGCTAGGGATCAGTTGGCCTACAGCAACTCTCTGTTAACTTGAAAATGTTTTTTGTGCCAAAATATACCTTTGATGACAGGAATAATTACTCACATTTGCTACAACAAAAAGAAAAAAAATGACTGTAGAAAGGTAAAATAAATAGCTTGCAGAAATCAGTTGTAAGGTTCCAGCTCTGAATCAGCACAGCAGCAGACAGCTTACGGACAAATCAGAAACAGGACAGTCTGACCTACAACCTCTGGCAGAATCTGACCTATGTCTGGGTCTCTGGCCAACTCCTCGTAGCTGCCATAAGATCGGGAAATGCTGTGCTTTTTGGCAAACTCCTGAGCATCCTCCAACTTGCGAGCGGCCACAGCCACGACCTGAAAACACAGTCACAGATGGGTTACTGCACTCCTCCACCTCTCTGAGAGGCTGCATACTTCCTTATTGCTAAAGTGAAACCTTCAGAGCCCTTTCTTAATAGTTTTTTTTAGTCAATTTTTTTTTTAAACTGCAAAGCAGAAAAAATGTGCTCAATTGTAATTTTTTGCTTGTTTTAATATATCTTTATCATTTTCTGAACAACTGAACATTTGTTGCTCTTTGCACAAACTTTCTCTTAATGTCTCCTGTTTATGTCTTATCCACTTCATGTCTAGGAACTTGACAAATAATGGCTTTTAAAAAGTTATTTAGTTGCACAAAGATGAATAACTTTTTCATAGCTTGCCATTTGAAAATGTGGATTGCACAACCTGACTGAAAAGCTGCCAGTTATTGAGACTCGGGATATAGTCCAACTAGGCCGCTTTGTGACTGACGGAAAACTCTTAGAGGCGCTCAGCCCACAGGGTAAATAAACGTTTGCACTGCTGCAAACCGAAAATTACCTGATGGTCTTCGACAGGAAGGGTTTTCAGAGCCACAGAGAAGTCATGACTGATCCTCCCCGCACTACAGATTCCCCACCGGGTCGCCATGCTGCTCACTCCTGTCAAAGAAGCAGGAACTGCACTCCACCACAAGGGGGCGACAGAGCGTACACTTTTAGACGTAAACAAATAATCAAATCTAATATTAGCTTAATAATACACTCAAATGAGGAGGAAAGTTTTCCTTGTGAAGTCTTGATTAATATGTTTGAGTAAAATTAACCACCAAGAAAGAATAATTGACAATGATTAGTATTCTTCAGGTGATGATGCGTTGCAGATATGGACTGGTGCCCGGGTGACAAAACTCCAGGCCGATGAATAAGGTCTAAGGAATAACTTAATTTTCCTGATGCTCTGGCAGAGTTCCATTAAATAACAGAACGAGCACCCACCGGGAGTCAAATGGCAAAAGCTTTGTTTGAATAATTGTGAGCTCAGATTAATGGTTGCTGCCATTGCTTTAGTTAGACAGGAAGAGAAGCATTCATGCAAAAGACAATACAGACTTGGTATTTTCGGAAATTTTCGACAAAATTTATTTGACAGATTACAAACTAACACAGGGCATTGTGTTTATCTCTAAGTAAAATACAGCTTGTTTATATTGGAAGCTGATGAAGTCACAGCTCTTTCCATGTCTTACAGAAAAAACACAAAACTATGCTGTTCATGCAGCTGAATGTCAGATCAAAGTTTTCTTTTAAACCACGGAGAGGGGTCATGTTAAACGTTTACTGGCAGTCCTGGCTGTACACCACCCCCACTTGCCGGCGAATCTCATCCTCCAGCTCAGCCAGCAGGACAGAGTCAGCGTGGGACATAACTGCACTCTCCTTCAGCCCTAAAAGGAAAGAGATGGCTCATCATGAATGAGCACCAATGCCTTAATAGGGCTTCCAAAGTGCTCCATGATATTTAGTGATTTTTAACCGTAGCTACGTTTCGGGTCTGTAAACCATTAACCCACTGAAACACACACTTCCAATCCCTCTTACTACAAACACACTCACAAGGTGAATGGCTAGAATACGGGCCAAAGAAGAACCCATTCAGTCTTAGCTTAGATCAGGACTCCTGTTAGAATATTTTAAAGTGTTCCACTGTTACATGAATACAGACTAGCTAGAAGCTGCAGTACCTTTCAGCAAACACTGTCGGACCTCCTCAGCTTCATAACGCATCCCGGTGCTGTTAATGAAGTTGAGAGGCAAATAGGGTTCTGGAACAGCGTACTCGGTCTCCTTCCCATTTACCATTAACGATGTGGGGCACCACATGTGGCTGGGAATCTAAAGAAAGGCCACACACACGCACAATACCACAAAGATCACACCACATCATATGATTTTTTTGGGACACATTTCATTCCTTTGGCTTGCTTCTAAGATATTTGATTCATTGAACACGCAAATGACACAATTTGGAGATTCTGTTCTGTCTTAGATCATTTGAACAGATGTCAGCATTTCCCTTTGGTGACCTACCTTGATTATTCCTTTTGTCCCTGCAACAAGGGCCTCATTGGGCAGCTGGACACCTGAAGAGCACGTGAACACTGCCATTCTGTTCTTTGAGAACTTCAGAGTGACAGTCACCGTCTCATCCACTCCTACAGTTGCAAGCAAACATGTAATCAAAGCTCTAACGAGTGAAGTACGCAGACATGAAAAGGAGCAAATAAAAGTGATTGATCCAGTCTAACAAGAAGTTGATCACACAATAGCGAAAGACAGAGTGATGGCATCCAGTTTGAACTGAACAAAGATGCTGCAGATTAAAGAAAGACAACAGAGGGAGTCAAAGTGGCGCTGAAGCTGGCTGAGGGGATAAAATGGCTGCCCCCTCTGTGAACATGTAAAGGGCAGCTATTAGCATGTTCTGGTGCATTCATTACAACCCAGAATTTAATTTAGAATCAACTTAAGAGTAATGGTGTGTAAGGGTATACTTCAAAGCATTTTTAAAAAAAGATTTCCATTCCTTAAGATAATTACTAAGATTATTTTTGTCTAAAAAGGCATTTGAGAACCACCCCACTGGTAGAAAAATCCTCTTTTTTTAGACAATCTGTTTCCCGTGGGCATATTTCAAAGGTCCATCTAAAATGTATGTCTGGTGCAGACCTTCAGAAGACTTTCCAAGAATGAGCTCTTTCTGTCCGGTTCAGTCAGTACCTGTCTCAAGGCAGATCCCCGTAGCCTGGATGCTCTCTGGCTTCTCTCCATCGTACACCATAAGTATGAACTGAAGGCAGTAGATGCCTAGATCAAGTACGGCTCCTCCTCCCAGCTCCTTCTGCACTGACCTTGGAACGTGCATCAGGGGAACACCAAATTCAGATCTGACCATCTTCACCTCTCCCAGCTCTCTGTGAGCCAGCAGCCGTCTGATCTCTACAGAGACGGGGAAAAAGCGGGTCCACACAGCCTGGAAAGAGCACAGGGGAAACAGGATGAGATGCATTTTGTGCAGCACTCTGATTCTGCCTGAGCTACAGTACATTCAGGTTTTTAAACAAAAAAGAAGGGGGTTAGTATTTGCATATAATATAGATATTAAGGACATTAAATGTTAGAATCCAAATCATAATCTGATGTGTCACACATGAGAATTGCATAACTACAGAAAATTAATCTGTGTTAGTTTGATGTTTGTTTGAAAATATCTACTTTTTTTTCCGTTTGTTTTCTTGTTTTGACATAATCATCTTTTTCTCCTGTTTCCAAGTTCACCTCCATGAGGAAGATGTCATTCTTCTTGGCAGAGTCCAGGATCTCTTTCACCTCCTTGGTGTTCATGGCCAGAGGCTTCTCACACAGCACGTTCTTCTTGGCATTTGTAAAGAGCAGACAAGTCTTCAGATGGTGCGGGTGGATAGTTCCAACATACACCACATCTGCACACACACCAAGGCACAGAACAGAGAGAATACTGATGGAGGAGGGACTTTTCAGAAGGTTAAAGCAAACCGAGGTGGAAATATCAGCAGGGAATTTATCCAATTTTGAGATCAACTAAATTAGGTTTCAAGGGAGATCTAGAAGAGGATTGGTAAACTGAGTTGTGAATCATCAGGTCTGACTGAGGCCTGAAGCAGACAGCTTACATCTGCTGCACAAAGCAGGAGCAGCAGAAGTCAAACAGTCTGACCTACAACCTCTGGCAGAATCTGACCTATGTCTGGGTCTCTGGCCAACTCCTCGTAGCTGCCATAAGATCGGGAAATGCTGTGCTTTTTGGCAAACTCCTGAGCATCCTCCAACTTGCGAGCAGCAACGGCCACGACCTGAAAACACAGTCACAGATGGGTTACTGCACTCCTCCACCTCTCTGAGAGGCTTATTGCAGTTCAATTTTCTTAAAACTAAACAGAATTTTTCATGAGCCTTTCTATATATGGTATTTCTAATTGACAAAACTATATGGCTTTACAGGATAAAGTGTGTGTATAGTACGTATTCAACCTCACTCAAAGTCCATGTAAAACAAATCCATTATCCATTTGCCCACGTAGTGCGGTCATTACGGTAAAAGTGCAACGACAAAGCCTAAACAAATGTCACCTGGAGCTGCAGTTAACAAGCTCTCTCTATCTTTATCGTTTAAGCTCGTTTAAGCTACTGGCTTCAAGACAGTTATTGGGCAACTTTCATACGTTACATTAAGTTGTTTGTAAATTAACTCTTGCTCAACCAAAACACCAGAGGAAGTCAGCATGAAGGGAGACTGCTCAGCGAGTCCTGAGAACAAGTCTTGCATTCGAATGAGGGGTTAAATATGTGTCAGTCAACCCAAATACCTGATGGTCCTCAGCAGGAAGAGTTTTCAGAGCCACAGTGAAGTCATGGCTGATCTTCCCCGCGCTGCAGATTCCCCACCGGGTTGCCATGTTGGAGACAGTGTCTCGAGCCTTCCCTGGTTGGCTGTCAGCGCGGGCTTTAGGGACAGCGGTAGTACCGGTTCTCTGCCACTAGGTGGCGACGTAGCATCAATGTAGCTCGTATGTGTTTGCCTTTTCTACATTAGAAAAACAAACGATAAGGAATATTTGTCGTGTATAATAATAATAATAATAATAATGATTCTTATAATAATATTTATGATATTACCACAACTACTAACATTAATAATATAA